ACATCCTCATCAGCACCGCCACTAATGGCGAATCCCTTCGTTAGAACTGCGGGACAATTAATGTTCACCTGGAGTCTGGTGGGAATAGAGTTGGAGACATTGACCTCGTATGACAGGCTGAAGTTGGGAAGCAAGAAGCTAGAGGTGTATCAGGCACTGATGCAACACGTGGCCAGGGACAATTCAGGCTTGAGCCTGGCTAGAAGAAAAGATGCCACATGTTTCTTGAGATGGACAATGTCAATGATGTCTGATAGCACCATCCTGGCATGCCACCAGAGAGCAAGTGGAAGTAAAACCATGGAGAGAAGAGTCTCAACGATCATCTTGAACGTATATCAGAGTACAGGAATAGAGAAAGAAGATGGTTCCAGACTATCCTTAGAGAACCATCGAAAGCTGGACGAGGTACGGAGGTTCTCTAATAAGAAGTTCGAGGAAGAACATGATGTTCACCGTAACCTGGCCTCGTCAGAACAGTACTCGAGACTCAGTGAGAAGGGGGAATACCAAAATGTGTCTGGAGTGATGGGAATAGCCTACAATCCCTTCTTAGACTCGGAAGCTGGAGGAGCCAACAGAAACCATGAGGTAGCGGAGCTACTGAAGTTTTGGACAGAAAGAATAATGGAAATAGACGCGGTGGAAAAAGAGGGGCCGAGCCTGGGCCTGATTCTTGAGAAAACACCAGAGGTGATAAGCATACCGCGCTCAAACAAGAGAGTTGAAGTGAACATGGGCGGTGGAAATGGCTTGTTAACCACGAACTTGGGAGTGATATGGAAGCTACTAAGACCCTCCTGGTGTCCACATCCCCATGCAAGTCTAATCGAGGAAACCACAGAGCGAGTGAGGTTAGCACCAACGGAAGATGAAGATCTGGCGAAGTTGAGTGTGCTACATAAGCTAATCACGCCCCAGATGCAAGAGCCAAGCGAAAGGACGAGCGACCCCGGGTCAGCAAAGAAATTGGAGCCGGGTAGCTGTCTGGATTCGACGTGTGGGAACGGAGAGCACATCTGCGATGGACGGTCATGCGTCAGAATACTGTCGTTTCAAAAAGAAGACCTGGTCACTTGGTTCGAAGACATCACAGAAAGGGAGAAAAGTGAAGTGCAAATAATAGCGGAATGTTACGCGAGAACCACGGTGAATATAGCGACAGCTCTCGGATTCTTCTCGAGAATGTGTGGTCTGCAGGCACTGGAGAGACTGGAGTCTGAACATCATTTAGTGACGGCGTTGAGCGTAGAATCATGGCCCGGGGTGTTGCAGGTGACTCAAAAACACATCCGGAGCTGGAAGGTTGGTCTTGAGGCGGAAATGGGATTTCCCATGAGCGAAGCTTATGGCTTGCCATTGAACGCGAAATCGCTGATAGGGTCAATGATGGCCAACTTGTGCGGAAGTCACTACCCGCTACACATGGCGATGGTGGAAGTGTCCAGCCAGAGAATACTGGTGGACAAGGCCTTCTCAGTGCCCAAGTGCGTGAGGTTGGCTCGGATGTCGCATCACTCGCACAAGTTGTTGAGAAAAATCAAAGGGACAGTACCAAAAGAATTGAGAGATGACTTAAGCGAAATCTGGGGAGAAGATCTTCTGAAGTTGGAAAGGGAAAACACGAGCGATCACGAGAGACAAAACGTGATCGGGATACCTGTGGGAAGTACTCCGAACCTGGAAGACAACGACACGATGCACGAGAAAATGATGGAGCTTGAGCCTCTCTTGGAAGCCTCAGGGGAGCGTAATCTCAGGAGCATTGAGATCTCTCATGGGGAATGCCCATGCCACTGTTTGGCACAAACGGTGTGGTATCCAGATCACAAGAACCTTTGCCTGGTGTGGGATGTGGAAGAGATTCGGTCGATCGGACTACCGGATCACCGGCAGAAGGTGACGCTCTTAGTAGTGAGTACGATGTTAGCTCTGAGATGGATAGAAGAGAATATAACGAAGTATCGGGAGGCGACGACGCCAACGGCTGAGTCAATATACGCGATAGACTACAGCAGGAGACTCGAGTTGTTTGAGACTGCGTGCAAAGTATTCGCCATACCGACGGAAGTCAGGCACGTATGGAGTCGCTTGAGGTACTTTCCATGGTTTCGGGCGACACTGACGTCTTGGTTGTACATGACAACGAAAGATCACATGAGAAAACATCAAAAAGAGTATCGACAGTTCCAGGCCGAGATTGGGCCGGAAGCTTTCAAGAGACCCCTGCTAACCCATCGTAATGCGATCACGACAGGATGGAAAAGAGTGGGTAAGATGTCTAGAGACAATACCAAAGCGAGGGAGTCGATACTAGAGGAAGACCTGGCGAAGAACGTGAGCTTGAGCCTGCACAACTCCTTTTGCTTGAACCGAGAAGCTAGGGTGAAGGCACTACCCAACCAAGCAAAGAGATTGCAGGAGCAGAGAGAATGGATGCGATCCTATGAACAGCTGAAGGCTTGGGAGGAGATTGTGATTAGTTCCGATGATGAAGAGGAACTGTTGAGACAGTTTGCCGCATCTAGCACTTCAGGATGCAGTACCTCCAAGGCGAAGAGTACGAGATGAATGGGCAAATCGGATGGATCTTGAGTCTTGAGAGGGAAGGGGGGCTTGAGCGTGGATCCGAGTGAAACTTGGATTCACGAAAAAGAAATTTTAACAAAGCAAATATTGTTACTAATATACTATATTTATTATATAAATCGAAATGCTGCATGACAATTTCCTGATTGAATAGGACAAAAGAGATTTTAAAATGATTGGCTTGAAAAGCGAAAATTCAAGGGTGCAGGTGTATGCAGATTTTGGTTGCTGTTTAGCAATAGTGTGAAAATTTTAAATGGCTGTGAATTTTGGGGTGTAGATAAGCTTAAATCTGCTGCAAACTTCTGTAAATGACCACTGGCACTGTATCTTGAGCAACACTCGGTTTTTCTGGGACTCACTGGCAGAAGACAGCGCGCGATGAGGACATCGATCTCGAGTCCGGGGAGTATGTGCCAGTCGGTCATATTTGGAAGTTTGACCTTGAGAGAAGCAAAAAACACTTGATTTTGGAGTGAAATTTAATTTTTCAAAATTTCGAATGGAACCTGTCATGCACGATTTTCTCGCGAGAACTGAAAATCAGAAAAAGAGATGAGAACAATTTCAGAACAATTGAGTCGAAAACGCGGGAAAGTCGCAAGAAAAAGCAGTAGGAAATTGCTATTCGCAATTTCCATCACTATAATAATCGAGAGTAGAGCTGTCCCATCTGTGACAGAGACGAGAGCATTCCCTCGAATTGGATTATAACGACTGGAGTATTATTCGGAACTGGACTAGAGTGAACCTTCGGTGGAAAGGTGGACAGCTTGAGTGTCCTAATGGTTCACAAGAAAACTATTGTCTAGAGTATAAACTCGTTCTCATTGTTAAAACTATAAAACATTAGACTCATTTAGTTACGTTATTTAATTCTTGAGTTAGTTACCGACTGGATTATTTCCCACTTCTTGAGCGTGCTACTATGTGAGTACAAATTTAAATTCCTAGAGTGTGTTTTATAATTGTTATGTTGAGGTAAGGCGAGTTTTAGGTTGATCCATCTGAAATGGATCAAAGTTCCACTGTCTAATAAAAAGTAACTTAACGGATTGTTCCAACCCGGTTTTTAACGGCGTTCATGTATTTTGGGTATCTAGAGACCTAAGTATGGGGACGTTTCTAATTCTAGAGTGGGGGGATATTTTAGTAGTAGCCTTTAAGCTGTAACGGGTCGTAGTCTCATGTCACAAGTGAACCGAACTGGCTCCGACCGTTCTTGAGGTAGAAAAACACAAGAGATAGTGTCCCTGACCCTTGAGCCAGTGGTTATAGGGCCTATTTTTCTTAAGCCTCATGTGTGACTGCAGTAGACGAATGTTACAATTATTTCCCTCAAGTTGGCATTGCTGAAGGTGGAGGCCTACCGGTGAGTCTGCTTTCTTATCTTCCTCAATTCTACTGGTCAAATGTCGAACAGTTTGTCCGACATAGATGGAAGTGCATCCACTACATGACAGTTTATAAACCACTCTTGACTTGAGGTCATTAGAAAATGCTGACTTCAGTGATGGTAAACATGATTGTAGTTTTCTTGTGGTGAAAACCACTTGAACGTTCGTTAATTTTCGTAACCTGTTAGCAAAATATTGTCTCTGGTTACCTCTATATTGCACCATCAGCATTGGGGGCTTCCCATCCTTTGGTGATTGAACTGACAAACCCCTGTCACTATCCAGGGGCTTGCCCTTACCCTCGATGCCACCTTTGCGGACCAATTTTCAGGGTACTGATTTGTCAGCCATTGAGCCCTATTAGTTTCCCTAGCCTTATCAAATTGCTCCCAGCTAGATGTACTCCTAAAAACCCTGTGTACAGTGACTTGGATAACACTACGCTTATACTGAGTTGGGGCGCAGCTTCTATAGTTCAGTATAGTCCCTGTATCTGTTGGTTTTTGATACCAACTGCAAGTTACACGCCTACCCTGCGATACATTTATGTTCAAATCCAGGAACGGCAAATTCCCCTCCGAATTAGTTTTCTCTAGAGTGAACTGCAACTTTGGATGAAGAGAATTGGCGGCATCGAGAAGACAACTCGGCTCCCCTCTGACTGTTCTAACAATGTCATCCACATACCTGAGGAACAATTTCACCTGGGGAGTATTCTTCTCCTTGTTCTTAGCTCGGCAGCAGCTTTCACAGTACCAGACTATCTCGGTTATTGATGCGTATACGTCATCGGATATTTTTCCGCATTTTAGATGATACCAGTTTCGGCAACTCTCGCATTCAACCCCCTTTGATCTATATGGAGCTTTCCTGCTGCAACATGGGCACAAGCCGTTTTTGTCATTAATTTGCTGTACCCCCGTTCCCACTTTAATCCAACTGATCTTTTCTTCCCGTGATACTTTTCTTTACTTTTTCCTAATTTATGAAACTCCAAAATTATTTTTGACTGAGTGAAATGATGAAGGACTTGTGTAGTTACCACTATGATTTTCGACTTTCAGATTCGCTTTAATTTTTTTAAACAGGGATATCAAATCTTGTTTTGTAAACACAATTTTAGATTGTGATAGGATAAACAGGCGGACATGACCAACGTTCTTATCAACCAGCAGAGACCGACAAAAGTAGGAGATGCATTCTACGATGTGCTCACTGGGTATGGTGTTGATGATCCGACGTGCACGCTAAACAGTGTCTGCTACATGTAAGAAATGCTATGAAAATTATAAAGAAAAAAAACTATGATTATATAAATGGTCAAGAAATGGCACTGCGGACAAATTGTATTCTTTTGGCCCGACAATCTATGGAAACTGCATCAAGCGGCCGGTTAAGAACCTTTTAAGGGACCTGTTGAGGTCATGATCATTTCAAGCAAACGATATCCACTCTGAAAAGCAAGAGCCAAGCATGGTTCCTTTTTTGGTGAAAACTGGGAAAATTTAAAGAAAATTAAATGCAAGTGCCTTTGTCCCTTTATCGATTTTTTTAAGAGCAGCAAAATGTCTCATCAGGAGGCATCTAAAATTGTATCTAGCATACTTGCTCCCTCAAATTGTACGTTCTGGTGCCACCCATAAAAGGTTGCGCAAATTGTTCTTGAAAGTTCAGGAAAAGATATATTGTTTTTTTAAATTTGAGTATTGCTACATGTCGTTATTTATGGTTCGAGCTCTTCAAATCAAATGAGATTGTCTTCGCGAAAATCAAAATAGAAGAAATTTTACAAAATTGAACGAAGGTTTTGTTTTTATCTATTCTCACTCAGATACGGGTAGGAATATAGACTTTTCAGTATCAGGATCTTGCTTAACAAAATCGCGATAGCTTGAGTTATGATAGATTCAGTTTTCTTGTCATCCGTGGCTCATTTGCCCTAGAGGGACTATTACGGGTACGAGAAAGTTCCTTAGTTCGAGTCCGGCCAGGGCCTGATATTCCTTGCGATAAGCAAGGGTATTGCAACCGGGTTCTGGTTTATTCCCCGTAAAGTCTTGTTCACAGGATCTCCAAATTTTCAAATATGTTTTTTTTGTCATGCATCAGGCTTATTTTGAGCCTTCCTGCATTCTATATTCCCGTTATCTTTACACTAGCGAGCTTAGTGTAGAGTGACTCAATATTTATTTCAACCTAACCGGCAAGTTAAAGGCTAATTTGGTGGCACTTTTGCTATAATAACGATCTGTAGCCTTGAAATTTCACAACATGTCCTATGCTTTGTTTTGGCTAGTTTTTTCCGAGCGTTAAGCGCCCGTGGCTGAGAGAAGAGGACGTGAGACTCCAAATCCCCAGATCGCAGTATTGAATCCGACCCGTAGTGAAAGGTTTACTCATTCTTATTTTTATTGCAATTTTGACTCGAATGTTTTATCTAAGAAGATTTTTTTTCATTAAAACATTTAATTACAACGCATAATACACAATTCAGCGACGTCACACAACAAAATTGTATTCAGCTATGCTCAGCTTTTATATGCTGTTTTTTTTAAAGCACAGAGGGTTCGTTCAAAACATTGATAAACAACTACAAAGAAAGTAATGTTTTTGTTCTGACCAACTGAAAAACCAAAGCTATTCCAAAATGAGCAGTTCTCTGCATTGTTCTGGCAATGTACCCATAACGGAGGCTGCGTTGCCCATTTGAATTGCAATTGACAGTCTTTGGATAAGTTGGCTATATGCCTTCTTGTTGTGAGTTTCCTTGATGAGTCGTTTGCTCAAATCGAATAAGAACTTCTCGGTAGACGGGCCTGCTCTCCCTTGGACTTCAAAGGCTATCGGTTGGAATATGTAGCCCCTGTCAGTCAGTTCTTGATATTTAGTGGTCTTCCGCTCTTCAGCCGCTATTACGGTAGACCCTGGGTGGTTGGAGCTTCGTAGTATATTGCTAGGGGCCAGTGCATCAACTACTGTGGCATCCCATGCTTAACTTGCACCTCTGAACCATGGTATCAGGGTAACGCCATCAGCTCTTTTCCCGTCCGAGCGGGTTAGACCAACAGGTTCAAGCTGAGACGGGAGGCCCACAGAGTTAAGTGCTCGTTTTATGATGTCGTTGATCATTGAATGCCTCGGAAATCGCCCTGAGCTCTTTTTGCAGGACAGACCATGACGTCCGTCGGCTCTCACCTCGCTGCCACAGCTGCATAAATGAGGTTCGCAAAAAGGAACTCCCAGTCGTAGTCCGAGGGAGATTCGTATCTGTTCGTCAGTGAGCTTGAGTCCGGTCGCTTTAGAGGGGTATGCGTTTAGCAATGCGCCAGCTATCTTTCCTTGGTATGCCAGAACTCTGGCTCTTGGTGTCTCATTGATTGCGTTCACCAATTGGATGCGCGCGAACTTTTGCTTGTTAACAGCTGCGGACCAGTCTTTTTGTGCTGCGGGCTCCTTGATCACAACGGTCGAGTCAGCATCCGAGAGGGCGTGCCAATGCTCAATAGCCGAAAACAAAAACTCGTCGTCAAGGTGTGTGTCCTCGGTAAGAATCTCGGAGATGAGTTTTTCGCTGCCGGCCGCTGAAGCAAGAAATGCAGATGGGGCGAGCTGGACAGCTGAACTCAAACCGATTCGGCCGTATTTTACTGGGAGCGTTGCCTGTTCCCACGAGGTGTCATCTATCTTGACGTTTGACATTGATTCGAGACTTAACCGCAAGATCTCATCGTATTTTTCGAGAAGGACCGGTTGTTTGAAGCATGGTGATGTACGCAAAATGAAGAGGAGCTTTGGAATAGAGAAAGCGCTTTCAAGAAGTGATAGTGCATGATGGTTTTCAAGTTTTTTCAAGTTCAGTGATAGGCGTTCGAGATCTTCTTTCTTTTCTGTCAGAGTTTTTTCCAGGCTCCGCTTTCCGAGTGTTGAGCCTAGGATAACGAGGTCTTCTATTTCGGTTGTTTCGATGAGTGTGCAAATTTGCCTGAACTTCTTCAAAATCTGCTCCCGGATATGCTCTTCTTGGTTGTCTAAGAACACGAGCTCGCACTGGGAGGAGTTTATTTGAAGGCCCATATTCGCAAGACTAACAATGAGCCGTCGAAAATCGTTTAGTACTACATCAGCCTCATCTGCGATGTTGCCATCGTCTAGGTACCACTCGTTCATTTCGCTTGTGACTCCTTCAACAATATCCATTAATGCGTGACTGAAAAGAGGCGGGCCTTCAGGATCGCCTCGTTGAACTCCTTCATTGGAAGGAATCACTTCGTTGCCATAAAACAACCACGATGGCTTACCATACGCTGAAAGAGTGAACGCTTACGCTTCAGGGTGCTCCCTCTGAGATGTTTCAAGCAGGACATCCCTGCGTAAACTATTGAAAGCATTCGACATGTGTACTTTTAGGAGAACTCGATTTCGGTGGCGGCTTGTGTCCTGAATATAGTGTCGCATTGCGTGCGATGCGGCTTCACACCCTCTCGGTATCCCACATCCAAGTTGCATTACGCCATATTTCGCTACCCGTTTTTCCAGCAAATTCCGTTGAGCACATTTAGCGACGAGACGCCTCAGGGTGTTCCCTACTGCGATGGGTCTGATACCACCTTTTGGTTTCGAAAAGGCAAACAGGTTCGCCCCGAAGAAGAAAGGGCGAAAGTCTTCTGGAACCCCGCCCGACAGAACCAAGTAAGAGAAGTCGCTAAGGGATTGTAGAAGAGCTGCACCCGCGTCGCCCAAATTTGTAGAAGTAAGCTCTTTCAAGATCTGCGGTCGGAGTCCAGCGGGACCTGCTGCAGACCCGGGAGGAAAAGATTCAATCGCTTTTCTGATTTCACCGGGGGCGGTTGAAATATGGGTGATAGCATCAGATGCTTGAAGTGGTGACGGTCGGGTATTCGCCGGAGAACTGGATGCTTACTTCGCAAGAGCAGTAACGTAGCTTTATCGTTTGGAGCCATGGTTTCGGCGGAGCTTGCTAGCCTTATTGCGCCCTTCAGGTCTCCTTCTTCGATCTTTGCTGAGACTAGCTCCGATAGTTCTTGAGGCTTTTGCTTTCGCTTGCTTTCTATTTTCGGGGTGCTGGGGGCTGCTTCTGGTCTCATTAGCTTGTTTGTGTGGAACTCGCGGACTTTGGCGTTGATTCGAGCGCTCAGAGACTTGGTATGCTTCTTGCCACCTCGTTTCGGTGCGTCGAGGCAGCAGAAAGCGAAAAGCATGAGACGTGTCCAGTTATCTATTTCCTCAGGTTTCGCTGTAATATCGTTCAAAAGAAGGCTGAGCAACTGGCCCGCATTATGGCGGGATGCTTTTGGCACGTGCCTCTATGTGTTTCTGCGCGATGAGAGAAAAGTGTCGATAATGGAAGGGTTTTCGGCGCTAGAGTTGACCGGGATCGCACGCGGTAAGCAGGCTTGAGCCTATGCACTTCGTTCCATTGATTTTATGCATAAAGAACTTCCCATCTTTTCTGAGCCCCGGTTTTTGCCTGCAAGCGCTGCAACTCGCTGTATCCGGCTGCGATGGAATTGGAGTACGGCGTTGGAGTTCAAGAGACAGAGCGTTCATTCCCTGCGTGAGGGAACTAGGGTTATTGCCATCATCGTTTGGTGTTTGGATGTTCGATGGAAGACTGTGATCGGCAATTGACATGTGCATTGTTTGGGTAAGGCCACTGTTTGCTGTCTGATCCGTTTCGCCGATGGCGGGCGCATATGACCATGGAAGCAGTTTTCCGATCCATTTTTTACTCAGGCCATTCTTGTTTTTCCAGGTTGCATTCCAATTGTTGATATGCACATTCTTCAGGTTTACCAGGTGCCGCGTACCGTCGAACCATTTGACTATTACATGAGTCCCTTTTTTATTTACGTCAGTATACGCATCTTCCGGGATCATGCCTTCCTCATTGCTGTTAGAGTCTTCGGTTGTCGGCTGCTTGCAGGAGCTGCAAGCCATTGGTGAGTGTAATTTCCGTGAATTTTCCTGATGTTGGAAAGAACTTACAGAAGGCTCCCGGGTTCCGACGAGATGGTCGGGGTGGATGTCGTTTCGGATGACGTCCAGATTTCCGATTCCGACCGTGAGAGGCTCCCGGGTTCCGATGAGGTGGTCGGCGTGGATGTCGTTTCGAATGATGTCCAGAGTCCCGATTCCGACCGTCTGAGTAGACCAGAATGCTTCAGCCCCGATTAGTTTCCCCCATTAACGTATATGAAACTATTTAATAAGTTTATCACAACAATTAGTTTATCACAACAGTCTCGCACAAGATTCAGGAGTGCGGTTTTTTCCGGCCGAATTTTATGAAAAAAAAACTGAATTTTTGTATTGGCTCTATGGGTGAGTGTTTTTTCTTTTTTTTTTATTGCGTATCAAGTTCATATCTGATAAATTTGATGTAAGTGGGTATTTTTTATAAGCTTTCGGAGTTTTTTTCACCTTTACCAAGTTTTTTGCGGAAATTGTTTTAAACTATCGCATTCATGTTTTTTTCATTTTCTTTCATTTTTTATCTTAGTTTTTAGCATTTTTTGTTGATTTTCATACCCAATTTATCCTGTAGGATATGCAGGTTGTTCGGTTGCAAGATATTAAGCTCATTTTTAAAGTATATTTAGGAGTTTTTGGACCAAAATTTTTTTGAGAGTTTCCATTTCTTGTTTTATGAAAGAAAAATAAATAGCGTTTGTGTAGCACAAATCCAAATGACAATTGCAATGAAAAAGTTCTTATTTTTTTAGCCTACAATTTTTCCAGCAGAATCGATTTAAATTTTTCACTTTTTGTCTCACACATTTTCTTTTGATTTTTGGCACTTTGTTTTTGTATCGCAAGTGATGCGAAGCTAAGCTTCGCCTCAGTGTTATTCGTGTTATTATAATTGCTAGGTAGTGATGTCAAAAGTAATCGTTTGCTTAACAATTGGTTTAACTATTTGATCTATTCGTACAGGATATTCGTTAAAAAACGTATAAGTGAGTGCCATTGTTACCAGGTACAAGCGTGACTACGAGTGGTGTTCGGAGGGCCAGGCGGCCAAAGTGGGCATGGCCAAGTGTAGGGAGGAGTTCGCAGACTGGATGGAGTGCCAGAACAGATTCAAATTGGTCAGTGAAAAACAGCATATCAGAAAGCTATTAAAAATTTGAAACTTTTTCCCGTAAAACATTTATCTTACAAATCCGTTCTTACAATTAACTTGCTGTGTTTTTTTAGAGTAATGAACGTAGTGAGTACTCTTATATAGGTCTTGCTGATTTTTTTTTTTTCAGGAAGAAGTCTTGAAATTTGTTCACGCTGAGTTTTGATTTTTCGCGGTTTGAATCGTGATTTTTTTCGAAAAAAAGTTTTGCCTATTAATCTAATTTTCTCAAATTGGGTGAGTTTTAACAACAAAGCGTCCATTATTGTCCGAATTGTTCTACAAATTCAAAGAGCTTTAAGGCCATCTATTTTTCTTCGAAATTCTAGTCTTCGAAATTCTAAAAATATTTTCAGTTTCCTTGCGTTCATTACTGTTTATCAATTTTCAGGCTCCTTTCCATGTAGTTTGGAAGAAATGCGGTTGACTTTGATCCCTAAGGTTCAGGGTTAGATTCCCGGTCGGACTTCGTTTTTTTTCCATGAGGCATGGTTCTTTCAATTTGGCGTGGAGGTAACACCTATGCGTGAAAAGCCAAAGGCCTGTGGTTTCCAGTGCACAGATAAAGAGGTGGTCGAGATTTCTCGATCTGTAGGTTTTTTTGGCTCCAACTCAATCGGCTTGATTTCTGTGCTGACTTTTTCTCCAAATGCTCTGTTCAAATCTTCTGTCTACGTTGTTGACAACTGTATTACGACCGAGTTGAAATGTTTTTGTATGATTTTTTGTCGGCTTTGTTTCCGCTTCTCATAGGCTCATTTTTCCAACATAGGTTCAAAAGCTGATGTATGTTCGAAAGCTGATTTTTTTTTGGGAGTTGTATATTTTTTTGGGAACGGTATATGCTTTTTGTGATTTATAGATCTTCTGGTAATACATTGCTAAATATAGTTTGATTTGCAAATTAAACAGTTCCATGCGTTCTAAACTGATGCAGATGTCAAAAGTTTTATGCTGCGGTTTTTCGTTTCAGATTTTCAGATCATTATTTTTTCAGTTTCAGATTTTTTTTGCGGTTTTTTTTCTGATTCGCGGTTATATTTCAAGCTACTAACCATCTGTGCGATAATAGTTTAATCTTCAGGGCAGTTTCAGCGCAGATTCAGCCATGGTTTGATTGGATTGCAAAAATTACAAAATTTTTTGTCACTCATTTGTTTTTTGGATGTTTTTTTTTGTTGTTGTATTCGAGAAAGATTTTGCAATAGAGTCTATGACAATGAATGGTTGTTCATCTTCATTTAGTTTTCAGTTCGTCTTTGCGTAATAAATGGAAATTGCTTTAATATATTGTTACCTTGGTCATTCAAGTGGCGTTTCGGCCTTGTAAGTAATAGAAAAAAAAACATGTTACAGTGATGCCGTAGTAGTTTCTGTAAAGTCTATCGAAGTACGGTTAGGGGTTAGAAATTCTTTCAAGTTTTTGACCTCTGCGATTTGTTTAGAAGCAACGATCTAACGAGTTATTGAAAAAGAGGGACGAGATGGTGAGGAAAGGGTGGGTGCCCCCTCACGGAAACAGACAGTTCAACCTCATGCACGACTCATTCAACAAACGGGGTTTAGCTATGGAGGGTCCCAGATTCGAGGAACTAGACAAGAGAAAGTATCTCGAACAACTGGCTCAGGGAAAATTCCCCAACCACAAATAAAACGGACCGACAAAAAACCTATTTAGACACAATTTTGAGAGGCACTTAACGCATTATTTGAAACATTGAATTTGCTGATGTATTTTTTTAAATATAAAACTAAGTGTGTTGATCACTTGGGAATTAAATTTTGTATTCCGAATGGTCTTGGTTTTCATTAGCTAACAGGGTGTAAAACCTGTTTCAAGAAAAATAAAACGGAAGAATTTGAGCTTAATTGGCCCTAAAGAAAATTTTACTAACCAGTTACTTGGTAAGTAATTTAGAATTCAGCAGTTTAGCATAAGCTTTATACGCAAAAGAGAAAATATTACGTCGGCATATATTATGGTCAGTGGTGTGCGCAGAAAATTTTCTAGGGGGGTGGGGGCGGTTTTTCAAAAATTTTGCCAACTTTTTTTAGGTTGACCAATTTGATTTTCCGAGGTGTCCCAAAATAGTGTAAGGACCCTATTTTGTAAAAAAATTCTCTGCGTCTCATGCGAACTTTTCAAAAAAAGGCGTTTTTAGACACTTTTTGGAAAATTTTGACCAGAAAATTGCGCATTTTTCGGCGCGCGCTCCTCCCTCAAAAATTGTCATATTGGCGACAAACTCGGCACGCTACTGATGATGGCAGAATTATATAATTTCAAGTTGGTCAACCATTTTAAAAGCATGATTGATTCTTAAATTGAAACCAAATCCACATTTTTTTAAAAATGAAAAGCCAGGAAAGGCTTTTTGATAATTTCAACAACATTCTGTTAGTGATTTTCAAAGGAGTGAACAAATCCTCGTTCAGATTAAATTAGATTTTTCACACTTCTAATGGGTCGAAAATTATATTAGGTACGTTTTTGAATGAGCATTAGATCGAATTAGATGCTCTTTATGCTCGTTTTTGAATTAGATGCTTATTAAGTGGCGAGGGTTCATTAGGTTTGTTAAGCAGTACTGTAAAGTACCTCAAAGAATGCTCGTAGGGTCGCGGTTATGGTATTATACTAACTCCTTTGAAATTGTTATTCAGATCCAGAAACAAAATTCAAAGATGTGTCTCAATGTCACGAAAAGTTGGTCAGTATTTTTGTTTAAAGACTTAATTTCATAGCAAAATAATTACGCTTGCGATAATCAAGCGTTATCAAACTGGGATATAGGTTTTTTTGGGTTGACAACTTGCTCAACAGAACAACTTGGTTCATAATGAATTCAAATTTTTTAGCGTCTCCCGTACACTTGGTCTAGTGGTTATGAATTCGCCCAGGACGGCAAAAGTTCCAATCTCACCAGGACCTTTTTGTTCACAGGGGAAATGTTCCGTTTCAAACAACTGTCGGTCTAATATTTGGTTCTTATGTTCGGTCGGCTTATTTTTTTTGCTGCACACAGTTTTTGTTGTAGTTGCGTATTGGGTTTATTTACTCCTGCAATTGGTAATTTTACTAACCCTGACCTCGTATATTTTCCTTACTGTTTTTTCGCTTTGCGCCCTTCTCAGGGAAACATAAGTTTGTATGCTTCCCTACAGATTGCAGTAAAAGCTAAAAATCTTACAATAGAATATAGTTGAATGTTTTTCATGGCAACAATTTTGTTTTCGGTTGTACGGGAATTAACCTACATTTTTCCCGGCTCAGTTGCCGCTACCTTCTTGTTTTTGATTTTTCATGAAGCGCAGTCGATTGTATTAAGGAATGGGTTTTTTGGGAATAAAGCATCATTCCAGGCAACCTTATGAAAGTTTTTCACTTTTTTGGATTTGTTGGCTGTTCTTTCCTTTCCTATCTGCTAGCTTACTATGCTGTTTTAATGTGCATAGCAAGTGGTGCGAAGCTCCGCTTCGCCTCTTTGTTTTATAATTATGCTTTCAATCCAATATATTTCTGAGAATTTTTTTATTAATAGCCAAAATTGCTGCTTATTTTTTTATTGTGTGTTATTTTCTATGAAAACAACAAAAACTAAAAAGTAATTTTTTGTTTTCGCAAAATGGATTCAGCTCAGCAGTACCCTGTATAACCATCAACATAGGTAAATCATCCACGTCCCCCGCATAGGAAACTCCTGGTTGTCTCAGATCAAACTGCAGCAGTCGACACTGGACCACGGTATCTTCCTGCTTGATATAGAGAAAATGATCCTACTGAAACAACGCAAAAATAGATAGCTTAATTTCTGCAGGTCAAGGCAATACATTCTGAATTGCGGAACGAAAAATGGTAAGTTTCAGAATTGAAACAAGGTGTGTTTTGTCATCTTTCCCACCCAATATTCACTTTGTCTTTTTTGCCCATGTTGGACGGGTTTGCTCCTCCGTCTCCAGGCTAAGGAATGTCGATATTTCAACCGGCCTTAGTGACATGTCTCCGGGAGGAAAAGGGGTGGGATTTCTAGGACAATTTAAAATATGACAACTAGTGTGGGGTGCCAAGAGAAATTTTGGGCAAAGTGGGGAAACTTGGTTGTCCATGCAGGCGAGGTACGTATTTAAAATCCGACTGTAGCCAGATCGAAGTTGGGAAAGCTTACAGCGGGTGATTCTGGGAACGGCCTCATCAGAGGGGTGGATGCTTAGAGGTGGGATAAAAATTAATTTCAAGGGAGGGGTTTCTGCAAGGAACTTGGTTACTAGGTTTGTATGCTTTTGTTTAAGAAGGAGCTTGATTTGGTTTAAAAGAAAAGTGTAAACTTTCTTTGAGTCGTTAAAATTTGGTGATTAGGTTTTGGTCGGTTAAAAGGTATCTATGTTGTTTTGAAAAACAATAAAATCGATTGTCGAACTTGAATAAGAGTGATTAAATGATTATGCGTGATCCATACGATATGTGGAGATTAAAAACTGAGAAGTTAAAAAGGAGTGCTGATTTGGAACGTTTAGGATCTCGACTTCACTGTGCAGATGGGTAGTGGAGCTTATAGGAGTTGAGCCAGCTGTTACTTACACGGAGGGCTTGGTTTTGGGTGACCTGCAGGTAGTTAATAGAAGTTCTGCTGGCGGCATGCACCCAGGCCTGGGAGGCATAATCTAAAATAGGGCGAATTAAGGCTTCGTAAGTTAAAGGTAAAGTCTCTTTAGATCAACCCCAAACGGAACCTGCAAACGCATTCAGAACTCGTATCCTGCAACGAGCCTTGTCAGCAGATCTTCTACAGTGAGCTGCAAAGTACATGGTCGGGTGAAAAGTAACCCCTTAAGTTTTGAATTTTTAATAAGAGGGTGAGACTCGTTGTTCAAAAATACATTTTGGAGTTTTTTAAATCTTCGTTCTAAGACGAAAGCAAAGTAACTGATCCTTGAGAGGACGCATATGCTAGCTTACGGGAGGTGAAAATAATTTTAAAAAACGGCGCAGGTAACTATTTAGTTAGCGCGATGCTGCCTCATTGTCGAATTTGAGCGAAGGGGGGTGGAAATCATCTGCGCAGGTTAGGCGAACATTTTAGAGGGCGGAGGGGCGTCATGGACATAAAAATTAAAACGTGTCGATTGTAAAACAGAGCCCTGGGGAACTAACAGTGAACGATTTTTGGGGGAATACCTGGTTGTTGAAAATACTGGCTTGTCGGTCACATAAGTAATTGCTGAGCCAGCGATCTAAACTTCTTGACAACAAGTGTCGTGAATGAGTTCAACTAGTGTTCTATGATATACCAAATCAAATGCCTTTGAAAGGTGAAGTGTGGCGAGAACAGTACGTAAAAGGTGACGACTTTGGTTAAAACCATCTGTGTTGCAAAATTCAAAGGTGGAGATTGCAGTTGTGTAGTGGAATGGGTGGAAACCGTGTTGGTGTGGCATTTGCCTCTATAGGGGATTAGCCTCTCCAAAATTTCGACAACGGGGCTTAGTAGTGAATTAAGTCTGTACGATGTGGATATTTTAAGATCTTTATCAGGTTTGGGCAGGGGGATTACCTTGAATTTTTCCAGATTTGGGGGTTAATATTCTCCCATTTGGGGGATAGTTTTATTTTCACTTGTCATCAATGGCCCATACAGCTGGCAAGGTCAAAGAAATAAGATCGCATCAAGATGATAATTTTAAACTTGAGTTTTGGTAGAAAAAAATAAGAGAACTTCAAGAGATGCTTTTTTATTTGTCTGTACCATACGGTTGATTCCACAATCGAAATTGAAACGCCTCGGCAGACACTTTTAGTGTTAATTACCCTTATGATAAATAAGGGTATTCCAACCGAGTACTTACACTTTTACCTTAAACAACAGTTTTCAGCCTTCATGCAGTACACATCCACTGCATTTGTCACATGCAGTGTGTGCTTCATCTTTTTGCTCATTGGTGCTTCCTCTTTTTGCTTATTTTTGCTCCTCTCTTTGCTAATTGCTCTTTTTGCTTTTGGAGTTTTGTTATTATTCCTTTAACAGTGTTTTCCCGATCATTTCGCAATCGAAAGGTTTCAATGAAACTTTTTTTATCTTTCCACTTGTCGCTTTCGGTTTATTTGTCCGCTTAGTTTTCGCTTTTCTGACAAGCTTTCACATTGATTATTGGAACTTTGATTTTTTGAAAGTAGAACGTTGAATTTTTTGAACGTTGAAACTTACGTTCAAAAAATTCAACGTTCTACTTTCAAAAAATTAAAGTTCCAATAATCAACGTGAAAGCTTGTCAGAAAAACAAAAACTAAGCGGACAAATAAACCGAAAGCGACAAGTGGAAAGATAAAAAAAGTTTCATTGAAAGTTAGAAGTATTTTCCTCAATTCTTAGACCAATTTTACAGGCTTTAATGCTAACTTTTTTTTCGATAATACATTAGTTTCTACAAGTTATGAAATACTTTTGCCATTCTTTTCAAGAGGGTAAAAAAGTTCAGCATTTCCTGGTTTTTATGCTCACCAAACTTTTTGGTTAGACTTTAAATAGGGATCCAAATAATTTTTCTTGCAATATATTTTTAAATTTTAAATTTTTTCGGTTTTATTTTTGAATACTAATTTTGAGTTTAAATGTTTTCAATATTAGTTGGTTTGGTGTGTTTTATGCTTGAGCATTTTCATTTGAAATCAATTCAAGACGATGAAACAGCGTATTAATTCAATCTGTCAAAAAAATCTCGAAAATTATATTATAAACAACCAGAAAGTTTTTTTTGCCAATGCTAACTTGAATGTGTACAACTGAATAGGGCGACTG